AGTAAGATATATATTTTTTTAAATGCTTAAAACACTTGGACTTGTAGGTGCAAGGTGCCCTCTACCAGGTCTCAAATTAGAGAAGAAAGATTCAGTTACATTTATGAGGTATTTTTTTGCTAAAGAAGGAAGGATTCCTAGCGCATTTTAGACTTTAAAATTTTGAACATTAAAGGGTCTCTAGGTGAGGGAGTCCGCTCACGCTGGGCAGGAATGCAGTTCAGCAGAGTGGCTGGTCCCTTGCTCCTGTCACTTGGGGCCCCGCTGTCACAGCACGGCACTCAGAGCCTCCCTCTGGCTAATGCACTCGGTGCCCGGAGGCCTGGCTACAGCCCCTCTGTTAACCATGCAGCCAGCAGGCAGGAGGCTGTTGGTGGGTGAATGCCTCAAGCTCCTGGTGCAGCTGGGAGCACATGTGTCAAACACAAGGCCCGCGGGCCAAATCCGTCCCGCCAGGCCTTGCAATGTGGCCCGCACCGCGCTCTCATCACTGCACTCCGCTGCGTTTCCATCACAATGACAGTTTATGACTGTTCAGTAAACCATTCGGCCCGCGATTTAGGCTGGATTTTAGATTTTGGCCCCTTCTCTGATTGAGTTCGACACCCCTAGCTGGGAGGCTCACTTGCTACACAGCCTGGATGGTTGTTCTCTGCCAGCCTGAGCTTCTGGGCAGAGGCTGGCAGGACAGCTGGCACCTGCTCTCTCATTGGCATTTCAGAGCCCCGGGGCAGATGCGAGGTTACAGGAAAGCATGGGAATGGATTGGATTGGGATTGGCTGTTTTTTTTAGTTTTTTTTTTTTTAATATTTTTTTTTTACAGAGAGGAAGGGAGAGGGATAGAGTTAGAAACATCGATAAGAGAGAAACATGGATCAGCTGACTTCACATCTCCTACTAGGGATGTGCCCACAACCCAGGTACATGCCCTTGACCGGAATTGTACCTGGGACCTCTCAGTCCCCAGGCGACGCTCTATCCACTGAGCCAAACTGGTTAGGGCAGGATTGGCTAGTTTAGTTTAAGGTTCATTGCAGGGCTCTGAACCCCCTATGTCCCCAGGGACAAAGAGGGACCATCTAGGCCAGTGGTGGGCAAACTCATTAGTCCACAGAGCCAAATATCAACAGTACAACAATTGAAATTTTTTTGGAGAGCCACATTAATAATAATAATAATAATAATAATAATAAATATATATATTTTTATTGATTTTTTACAGAGAGGAAGAGAGAGGGATAGAGAGTTAGAAACATCGATGAGAGAGAAACATCGATCAGCTGCCTCCTGCACACCCCCTACTGGGGATGTGCCCGCAACCAAGGTACATGCCCTTGACTGGAATCGAACCCGGGACCCTTCAGTCAGCAGGCCGACACTCTATTCACTGAGCCAAACCTGTTTCGGCTGAGCCACATTTTTTTTTAACTTAAACTTCTTCTAACGCCACTTTTTCAAAATAGACTCACCCAGGCCGTGGTATTTTGTGGAAAAACCACACTCAAGGGGCCAAAGAGCCGCATGTGGCTCGAGAGCAGCAGTTTGCCGACCACAGATCAGTACCGGAGAGAAGCTGCAGTGAACTGGAATGCAGGGTTTCCAAACAGGACTGAGATCCAGTGGTACCAGAAAGTCCAGTTTCTCAGAGAAACTGGATGTCCCAATTTTTGTGTGTAACAGCTCTTAATTTTAAAATTCTTCCTCCTTTTCTCCTCCCTTTCTATTTCTTCCTTCTTCCCTCCTCCCCTCCTTTTTTCTTCGGTTTTCCTTCTTTCTTCTCCTCTTCCTTCTTCTATTTAAAATGCAGGGTGGGGCCTGGCCGAGTAGCTCAGCTGGTTGGAGCGTTGTCCCGATGCGCCAGGGTTGTGGGTTCGATCCCCTGTCATACGGGCACATACAGGAATCCAATGAATGCGTGGATAAGTGAAACAGCAAATCAATCTCTCTTTCTCTAATCAATAAAATAAAATAAAAATGCCCAGGCAGCGTGGCTCAGTGGTTGAGCATCGACCTATGAACCAGGAGGTCGTGGTTTAATTCCTGGCCAGGGCACAGGTCCAGGTTGTGGGCTCCATCCCCTGGGTGGAGCACGCAGGAGACGGCCCATCAATGATTCTCACCATTCATGTTTCTATCTCTCCCTCTCCCTGTCTCTCTGAAATCAATACAAATATATTTAAAAAAAATAAATTTAAAAAATGAAAACCCCTTTATAAATAAACTAGAGGCCCGGTGCACGGCATTCATGCACTGGAGGAAGAAGCGGGGGCGGGCAACACCCACCTCAGGCCAGCCTACGCCCTTTCACAGTCTATTAATAGGAGCCCTGGGGGACGTCCGACTGCAGCTTAGGCCTGCTCCCTGCCAGGAGTGCGCTAACAGGGTGGAGGAAGGGGAGGAGAGGCACACAGTTTCTACATTGAGCCTCTGCCCCCTGGTGGTCAGTTCACATCAGTGACCGGCCGTTCTGCCATTCAGTTGATTTTGCATATGACCCTTCTATTATATAGGATAAATAAATAAATAATAAATAATGAGTAAATAAAGCGCAGGGTGGGGAAAAGTATGTCGATAATTTGCTAGCATGGCTCCCAGAACTCAGGGAAACACGCTTGCCGGTTTACTGCAAAGGATCAAGGATACAGATGAGCAGCCAGATAAAGAGGTACATCAAGGGTGGCACAGACGGTCCCCGAGGGCAGGAGCTTCTGTCCCCAGCGCCTTCCTGGTACATGGATGTGTTCACTGGCTCAGACTCTCCCAACCGTGCCCTGTGAGGACCGTTCTGGCAGCTCCGTCACGCAGGCAGGATCACCGATTCACTCAGTCTCCAGCCCCTCTCCCCTCCCCGGAGGCCGGAGGATGGGTGTGAAAACCCCAAGCTTCTGCTCCCGGCCTGGTCTCTCTCAGGACCAGCCCCACCCGGGAGTCCGCCCGGAGTGGCTGTCTGGGAACAAAGACACTCTTACCACCGAGAACTTCTGAGGGTTTCAGGAAAGCTGTGCCAGGAACGAACGGCTGGCAGAATGTGTCTGACTTCCATTGTTTCCCAAGTTCTATTGTTATCCAAGGAAGGGCCGGGCAGTCTCTGCTACAGCAAATACTGTAATAGACAGATAGGCAAATCAAGACCCACGTAGCACCGCCTAAGGCCTTGGAATAAGCAGAAACGCTAGAATTAGAACATGGTCTATAGTAGACATTCAATTCATATTGAATAACAATTGTAAGCTTTAAAAATCAAACTACTCATGTGTGTAGGTTTTTAAAAAAATTATTTATTGATTTAAAAATGTTTTAAAAAAATGTATTTTATTTATTTTCTTACAGAGAAAAAGGGAGAGGGACAGAGAGTCAGAAACATGGATGAGAGAGAAACATTGATCAGCTGCCTCCTGCACACCTCCCACTGGGGATGTGCCTGCAACCAAGGAACATGCCCTTGACCTGAATAAAACCTGGGACCTTTGAGTCCCCAGACCAATGCTCTATCCACTGAGCCAAACCGGTTAGGGCTAAAAAATTTTTTTTAAGAAAAAGAGAAAGAGCTGCCCTAACCGGTTTGGCTCACTGGATAGTGTTGGCCTGTGGACTCAAGGGTCCCAGGGGGCATGTACAGCTGAGGGCACCGACTGGCCCCAATTGGGACTGGGCGAGACAGTCCCAATCAGCCCCAATTGCCAGTCAGGCCGAGGGACCCCACCCATACATGAATTCATGCATTGGGCCTTTAGTAGCATATACATAATTTACTGCTAAGATACAATGAAAAAAATTTCTAATATATTTTTTTTCATTGTATCTTAGCAGTAAGTTATCCTACATCTAGCACACTGTGAGGCACAACTGTTAGTTTCCGTGATTAATTGGTCTGAGTCCCCCACCAGACTGGAGGCCAGGATCTAGAGACAGCCCTGCCCCGCGTAGGGATTTCACTTAGAATTCCTAGGCAGCGGCGGGATCACCAGGAGCCCCAGTGACTCAGGGGCCTGGAGTCCCTCCTCTGAGCCTGGGCGCCTCACCTCCAAAAGCAGAATTACGCAACGGCGACCTCTAGTGCCCAAAAGGAGAAACTGCAGTGGCACACTCCTCCCAGGGGAGAGCTGACCACATTTGTCTTTGAGACTTAGAATTATCTACATCAACAAGGTTGACACCCACATTCTGACTTTAGATTTGAGGAAAGTGGGGCTCAGAGATGTGAACGGGTTCCCCGAGTTCCCACGGTGTAAGGCAATGCTTTCCCCGAGTTCCCAGGGTGTAAGGCAGTGCTGAGGTCCAACCCAAGCATCTGTGGGCCGAAGCCTTTGAGCCTAGTCCTCCCAAGGAGAAACTGAGTTTTCATATTTTTTCTCTAAACATAGATCTCTGGCTATAAAACACTCTGTCATTGTCATAAGCTTTATTTTTTTAATATACTTTTTTATTGATTTTGTACAGAGAGGGAGAGATAGTTAGAAACATTGATGAGAGTCATCAATCAGCTGCTTCTTGCACGCCCCCTACTGGGGATGTGCCTGCAACCAAGGTACATGCCCTTGACTGGAATCGAACCCGGATCCTTTCAGTCCGCAGGCCGATGCTCTATCCACTGAGCCAAACCGGTTTCAGCATAAGCTTTCTTTTTTTTTAGAAGTATGTTTATTTCAGAGAGGAGAGGAGAGACAGAAATATCAACAATGAGAATCCTCCATTGGCTGCCTTCTGCATGTCCCCCACTGGGGACCCAACCCATAACCCGGGCTTGTACCCTGATGTGATCTGGTTCATAGGTTGATGCTTAACCACTGAACCACCCCACCAGCCAGGTGGGCGCCATGTGCTTTCTTTACACTGGCCCCCTCTCCCTGGAGGTAATAAGGTCCATGGTTACCATCCCACTTTAGAAATCGGGGAACGAGCAGAGAGCTGAAGCTAGAAGGCCCTGCCTCACCCCACCCCACTGGTCAGCAGGGGCCCAGACTCTGTCCCCAGCACCAGACACAGGCCACACAGCTCGGTAGCACAAGCTCCTTTTTATTAACCACCTCCTCTGGTCTGAATGCCCGAGTAGAAAAGAGACAGTAAAAGGCCCCGGCAGGGAGGGTCAGGGGCTCCTGAGTTTGGGCCGAAAGGCCAGGTCCCAGCCCTTCCCCGGAATGATTCTGTGCCATCACCCCCTTACCTCCCTCCACCCCGAGATCCAGCATCAGGAGGCCGGGCGGCCATGCTGGCTGCGACATCCTCCCGACCTCGCCGGGGATGGGTGCTGGCAGGGCCTGGCGAGGTGCAGCAGGCTGGGCTGAGAGGAACCAGCAGAGGCGCCCTGGCCCCCGGGGCCAGACAGTGAGGAGAGGCAGGTCGCCAGTGTGTGGGGGCTGGGCAGACGCCTGTGGGGCCTCCCACCAGCCTGTAGCTGAGTGCCCTGACTGGTGGGCTGCGGGCCAAGGTCCCCATACCGGGGGCACAACCAGGTGTGGCCTCAGGGTGACTGACAGGCCCCCGAGGCCAGGCCTGGGTGTGTGGAGCTGAGGAAGTTGACAAGGGAGAGCTTGAAAGCCACCCCCCCATATTTATGCGAGCAGGAGATTGAGCTACATAGAAAAACGGGGTGTGGGGGCGAAGGAAGGATGCGTTCAGGGAAGAGCAGACAAGATCCAGGTTCAAAGTTCCAGGCTGGCGGGGCTGCCCTCCCACGCTGCCCAGCCAATGACAACTCGGCACCCTGGGTGCCTCTGGGCCAGGGATGGCAGGGGAGGCAGAGAGAAGCCATCGTCGGAGGAGAGGGGCGCAGACAGGATCGCCTTGACCCTGACCAGCCCGGCCTGCACAGGTCCGAAAGGTCCCCGGCCTTCTCCATCACCCGCTTTTGTGCCTTTGAAAAGAGGGGCCCGTCTGGAATCCGAGAGAAAAGCACTAACACCCAGTCCCCCCGCCACGGGGAAAGCTAACGAAGGCGGAGTGGGGGGGCGGAGGACTCGCAGCACCGAGGCACAGATGGCCCCTGGTCCTGGGCGGGCACCGTTTGTAAACATGAGACTTGGTGACTGGGTCTGGGGATGGAGGCGGAGAGGGCCGCCTGGACCCTGAGGTTTGGGGAGAGACAGCCAGTGAGGCCCTGGGCCGCGGAGAATGTCACGGTCAGCCGTGGGACAGAGGGCTGTGGGCCCGGGGCGGGGGGCGGGGGGAGGCACAGACTCTAGCTGCCTCTGTGCATCCGTGTGAGTCCAGCGCTCCCTTTGGGGCTGGCTGAGCCCAGAGGAAGCCGCTGCTGGCTGGTCCGCAGACGGATGGGAGCAGGTGTGGGGTCCTGGGGAAGGGGCATAGCCCCTGTGCTCTGGAGAGGGGCGCCCCGGAGAGGGGCGCCCCATCGGCCCGCCCTCCTTCTCCAGCGGGGAGTCAGGCTGCTGCCTTCTCCTGAGACCTGCTGAGCCTCTTCACCGGGGGCTCCAGGCCTGCAGGAGCCGAGCGCTGGGGGAGGCGGGAAGGCTCTGTGACCCTCCTCCCGCCATCCAGGGCCCCGCCGGGACGGGGGAGCGGCCAGGGAGCTGGTGTGTTCGATTCCCAGCCAGGGCACATGCCCGAGCTGCCGGCTCCAGACTGTGGGGCCCGATGGCAGCCCAGATCCGTCGCTGGAATCATCCCGTCGGTAGAGGGGAGTGGACCCCGACTCAGCGCGGCCCCGCGGCTCTGGGCTGGGCTCCTGGGCGCAGAGGAGGCCGCGGTCACGCCCACAGGTCCACGAACATGGCGCTGGCTGTGGTCTGGCCGAAGATGAAGGCTCCCAGGGTGACCAAGAGGACTCCGTAACTGACCAGCGCCCACCAGCTGGGGGCAGAGGGAGAGGCAGGCCTGTTAATCAACCCACCCGTGACTCTGCAGACTTACACACACACACACACACACACAAACACACATACACTCATCACCATAATCACCCAAACCAGCGGTCGCCAACCTTTCGGACCTCCTGGAACACCGACTGGCGACCGCTGACCTAAGCCACTTGTCCTGTGGGCGGAGCCCTTCTTACTTGGCAAGGACTTTTCACACAAAGGTGTGCGCTGCCAGGGATCTGACCCCCTGCTCCACAGGCAAGGAGACCAAGACCGGCTGGCGTGGACCGGTCATAGGAGGTCAAGGGCAGGACCAGGATTAGCAGGCGTGCCTCCGGATGGAAAGATGTTTGGGGGAAAAGCAGGTCACAGGGTGAGCCATGTCATTAAGACAAAACAAACAACACAGCGCGGCCAGTGTGGCTCAGTGGTTGGGCGTTGACCTATGAACCCGGAGGTTGCAGTTCAATCCCTAGTCAAGGGGCGTGCCTGGGTTGTGGGCTCCGCCCCCAGTAGGAGGCCTGCAGGAGGCAGTAGATTCATGATGTTCCTCTCTCCTTGATGCTTCTTCTTTTTTTTTTTTTTTTTTTAAATATATTTTATTTATTTTTACAGAGAGAAAGGGAGAGGGATAGAGAATTAGAAACATCGATGAGAGAGAATCATCGACCAGATGCCTCCTGCACACCTCCTACTGGGGATGTGCCTGCAACCAATGTACATGCCCTTGACTGGAACCGAACCCGGGACCCTTCCATCCGCAGGCCGACGCTCTATCCACTGAGCCACACCGGCTTTGGCTCATTGATGCTTCTTATCTCCCTCTCCCTCTCCCTTCCTCTCTCTCTCCAAAAATCAATAAAAATGTATTTAAAAAACAAAGAAACGGAAAACACACAGCGAGACCCTGAATCCCATGTGTCCGTGTACACGTATTTGCAGCCGTGTGCACACAGAAGGCACACATGCAGAGCCGGGAGGGCGGACCACGCTGGGACAGGGAGCTGGGGTGGGGGAGGCTGGCAACTGGGTTGTGGGCGAGGGGGGATTCCACTTTTTCTCTTCAAAGTCCTCCAGGAGCGCTTGGACGGTCATAACTAGCACATTACCCATTTTTTTCTAAAAGTATTTTTAGCTCTGGCTTGTTCGGTTCAGTGGCTGGAGCGTGAGCCTGTGCACTGTAGGGTCCAGGGTTCGATTCTGGTCAGGGCACATGCCCGGGTTTCGGGCTTGATCCCCAGTGGGGGGCATGCAGGAGGCAGCTGATCATAGATTCTCTCTCATCATTGATGTTTTTATCTCTACCTCTCCCTTCTTCTCTGAAATCACTCCGTTTTCCTAAGAGTGTAGTCTCCTGACCCCTGTGACTTTAAGGCCCCCTCCAGGCTGGCGCCTCCTGAGGACCATGGCGGCGTTGCCTTACCTGGCTGGCTTGACCTCCTCCATCTCGGAGAGCTTGGCTTGGATGAGGCACAGCCCTGCAAGAGAAGAGGCGGCCCCTGAGCTTGGCTGGGCCCCTTCCCCGCGCCCAGCTCCCCGCTTCCCGAGAGGCAGCGGGGGATGGAGGAAGGCCTGGTATTCCACCTCCACCCCCTCGCCCGGCCCCGGGCCTGGCACGGGTTCTCCTGGGAGAGGCCAGCATCCCACAGGCTCAGTGCGAGCTGCCCGCAGCTCAGGGCTAACGGGGCAGCACGCCAGGCCCTTCCCGGGGCGTCCGAGCAGACGTGGCCCCTCGCTCCACACTGAGTGAAGGGCTCTCAGGGTGGAATAAGCTGGGTACGAGTGGAAGGCACGGCTGGGCGGATGGGACAACTCCCCGGGGGCCTGGTGCCAGACGCTCAGGTCTCCCAGGTTCTGGGTCAGGGTGCGGCTACAGACCCCATGCCCTCTGGGGACTCGCCAGCCATAACCCTGGTCACCAGGGAGCCACAGAGACTAAGGGTACAGGCCGAGGACCTAGGTGGGCCTGGCGTGGGGAAGGTCGTGACCCTCCCACCTCCTCGGCAGGAAGCGGAGAGAACAGCATCTTCCTCTCAGGGGGTGCTGGGGCCGGGGTCAGCCCCGAGCCTGTGGCGGGTGACCCCCAGTAGGGGGCTCCCCTCCCCGGTGGGTGAGCCAGTGAGGCGCTCTGGCCGGGAGGGAGAGGGGAGGGAGGGAGGGAGGGAGGGAAGGCAGCGCCGTGGGGCGCCAGGGCCTGCACCTGGGAAGACGAAGATGAAGCAGGCGGCCAGGCCTCCGATGACCGCGATGACCTTGCCGATGTCGGGGATGAAGAGCGCCAGCAGCAGGGTGAGCAGGAACCACACCACCGTCTGCAGCACCCGCCGCCGCTGCTCCCGGCCCACGTCCTCCTCCACCGGCATCTCCTGGTAGCGCAGCCATAGGCCTTCGACCACGGCCCTGCACACAGGGGGGGTCAGAGGCTCCCTGTCCACAGTCCCCCCCCTGCACACAGGGGGGGTCAGAGGCTCCCTGCTCACAGGGCGGGGCTCAGAGGCTCCCTGTCCACAGTCCACCCGCCCCCTGCACACAGGGGGGTCAGAGGCTCCCTGCTCACAGGGCGGGGCTCAGAGGCTCCCTGTCCACAGTCCCCCCCCTGCACACAGGGCGGGGCTCAGAGGCTCCCTGCACACAGGGAGGGTCAGAGGCTCCCTGTCCACAGTCCCCCCCCTGCACACAGGGCGGGGCTCAGAGGCTCCCTGCACACAGTCCCCCCCCCCTCCCCTGCACACAGGGCGGGGCTCAGAGGCTCCCTGTCCACAGTCCCCCCACCCTGCACCCAGGGCGGGGCTCAAAGGCTCCCTGCACACAGTCCCCCCACCCTGCACACAGGGCGGGGCTCAGAGGCTCCCTGCACACAGGGCGGGGCTCAGAGGCTCCCTGCTCACAGTCCCCCCCCCCCCCCTGCACACAGGGCGGGGCTCAGAGGCTCCCTGTCCACAGTCCCCCCCCTGCACACAGGGGGGGCTCAGAGGCTCCCTGTCCACAGTCCCCCCCCCCCCTGCACACAGGGCGGGGCTCAGAGGCTCCCTGCTCACAGTCCCCCCCCTGCACACAGGGAGGAGGGGCTCAGAGGCTCCCTGTCCACAGTCCCCCGCCGCCTGCACCCAGGGCGGGGCTCAGAGGCTCCCTGCACACAGTCCGCCCCCCCCTGCACACAGGGCGGGGCTCAGAGGCTCCCTGCACACAGTCCCCCCCCCCTGCACACAGGGCGGGGCTCAGAGGCTCCCTGCACACAGTCCCCCCCCCCCCCTGCACACAGGGCGGGGCTCAGAGGCTCCCTGCACAGTCCCCCCACCAGACCCCTGACTGGGTGGAACGGGGTGAGCCTGCTCCTCTCTGTAGAAGTGCCCGGCTGCGGTCTCGGGGCTGCCTGGGCACTGGGTGGGGGTGAACGTGAAGGGCTTAGGGCCCTGCCTGGCCCAGGACGTGACCCCTGGGGGAGCCCATTCCATTCTCCTCAAAGGGAAGGGCCTGGGACTCCCAGGCGGTGGTGTTCAGACAAGGATCTGGACTGGAGGTTCTCCGAGGACTCGCAGAATGTTCTGGGGACCACGGGACAAAGGGGGAGGTAAGACCCGGCTGGGGGTAGGCACTGACTTTCCCCCCTCGGGCTTCCGTTTCTCCTTCTCCGAACAGGTCCATACAAGGTGGAAGGACCACGCTAACGGGTTCTCAGGGGCTCACCGGCCACAGAAGTGCAGGATGGAGTAGGAGGTGAGCACGCTCAGGATGATGAAGGCGCGGGCCACGGCCACGGCCACGTCGTTGGAGGGGTAGGACAGGAGCACGTCGGGGTCCACAGACGCTCCGAAGGTCAGGAAGCCGCAGACGCCTGAGGGCAGGGTCAGAGGGCAGGGGAGGAACGTCAGATGCCCGCTGGGGACATCAGAGAGGGAGGGCGGGCGCGGGAGCCAGAGGCTGCGGGTGTTGGGCTGGGATCAGAGCCTCCTTCCCTGCCCTCTCACGGCCGCCCCGCTGCCCCTCTCTGACCTCACACTGCCCGGCGCCTTCCGCTCACAGCCAGCTCTCCATCTGGCCACTCAGGTCCCAGCTCCATGGCCCCCTCTGGAGATGCTTCCCCCTCAGCCTGCCCACAACAGGCCCCCCCGCCAGCCCTCTCACATCAGCCTGTTCCCTTCAGAGCCCACGTTCTCTCTGAATTCTTTCTTTTTTAACTTATAACTTGTTTCTCTAACTGTTCCTGGCTGTGCCTTCAGTGGCAGAGGCCCCAGAACCGTCTGTGGAGGAATCACCCTCCCAGCTCTCCCAGCTCTCCCAGCCCTGCTCCCTTCTCCCAGCCGTTCCCCACGGCACCCACAGCCATCTTTTTTTTTCCTTCCTTCCTTCCTTCCTTCCTTCCTTCCTTCCTTCCTTCCTTCCTTCCTTCCAAATATATCTTATTGATTTTTTTAAATTTATTTTTTATTTATTTTTTAAATATATTTTATTGATTTTGTACAGAGAGGAAAGGAAGAGAGATAGTTAGAAACATCGATGAGAGAGAGAGTCATCGATCAGCTGCCTCTTGCACACCCCCTACTGGGGATGTGCCCGCAACCAAGGTACATGCCCCCGACCGGAATTGAACCCGGGACCTTACAGTCCCCAAGCCGACGCTCTATCCATTGAGCCAAACCGGTCTCGGCTCTTATTGATTTTTTTACAGAGAGGAAGGGAGAGGAATAGAGAGTTAGAAACATCGATGAGAGAGAATTATCGATCAGCTGCCTCTTGCACACCCCCTACTGGGAATGTGCCTGCAACCAAGGTACATGCCCTTGACCGGAATCGAACCCGGGACCTTTCAGTCCCGCAGGCTGACGCTCTATCCTGAGCCAAACCGGTTTTGGTGGCACCCCCCCAGCTGAGAATAGTTCCTGGCGCTTACTAGGCAGAGCTGCTGAATGAAGGGATGAACCCATTGCTCTCCTTTGGGCAGGGGGAGGCCCAGGAGGCCCAAGTTCAAGCCCACGCCTACAGAAGGGTTGGATGCGGTAAGTGCAAGGCCGTCCCCGGGAACGCTGGGCTGGAGCACCGAGGAGCAGAGCGGAGGCGGGAGCACTCACCTGTGCCCATGTACACGGCGAGGGCGATGACCATGGCGGCAGTCACCACCCCGCCCCAGGTCTTCACCTCGGGCTGCCGCATGCTGTTGAAGATGGGCACGCTGCTCACGTGGCACTGTTGGGGTGAAGGTCACGGTTACGCTGGGGAAGCGACCTCACCCCCTGCCCCGTTCCCAGAGGGAGGTAACCTTGGAGACAAAGACCACGGGGACAAGGGGCGGGTCCTGGGGTCCCCACTCCATCCTTCCTTCCAGGATACCCCATCCCGCCTGTGGTGTGGGCTCCATCCCAGGATGGGGGGCCGCAGGGACCTTGCAACTGGCACCTGAAATCCAAAGCAGATGGTGGGCATGGCATTGAACACGGCCATCCAGGAAGCCGGCCTGTGGATGAACACAAGAACGTGGTGCCTGTGAACCCTACACAGCCACCAACTCCCCCCAACCCCCCGGATGCCCTTACTCTTCCTTCAGCCAACCACGGCCTCCACCAGGGAGCATTCTACACCCTCTACCCATTTCACAGGTCAGCAAACTGAGGCTCTGCAAGGCTCTCCTGGGGCCAAAATCCAGAATTTTGGCTCTTACACTGGGGCTTTTACTTTTTTTTGGTTTGTTCCTTTCAAAAAAAAGGAAACTATTTTTTCTTCTTCTTCTTTTTTTTTTTTTTCTTTCCAAATGACCACATAGATCCATCCTCATGTAGAAGATGCAGCAATTACAGAGAGGCACAAGTTGGAAAAATGTGTAGCTCCACCCTGGCAGGCTCCACAGCCTGAGGCCTCGTCTGACGCTGGCTCATTGTTGGACGTTAGCGGCGAAGTCTCTTCCGTCTCTGGTGCTCATTTCCCTCCAGTGGAAAGAGATCAGGACCGCTTGCCTGCTTCCTACGAAGGAGGGCCTGGGACGCTCACGGGGCCTTAAGATGAGCACCCGTGTGGCCTTTCGACGTCTGACCCGGCACCTTCCGGGGCCCGAGCAGCCGATCCTGCCCCACATGTCTCCTGATCTCACCCACCTGGTCAGGATGTCCCCCGGGGTCATCTCCTTATCCGGCCAGATGTACTTGATGATGACGATGGCGGTGACGTACCAGGTGCCCACGACGCTCAGGAAGCTGCGGGAAGAACGGACTGAACTCCCTCCTCCCCCGGCCCCAGTGGCCCTTTCTCCGACTCCACCCCAGGGGCGTCTACCCTCAGTTCTAGGGACCACGAGTGTCTACTGAACAACGTGGGGGGCTATTTCCAGCAAAGACTCCAGAAAGGAGAAACTGGCCACAGCCTGGAGGGAGGAGCTGGACCGCACAGGGGACCAGACTGACATCTCTGACCATCGGGAGATGCACTGGCTCAGCTCCAGGGCTCCGAGGGCTGGGCTTCTCTCAGAGCGGCCCACGCGTGGCGAGGGCTGCAAAGAGGGCCCTGGAGAACGAGGAGACAGTGGAGGAAAAAGGGTGGAAGGGTCAAATACTGGAATGTCGACAGCACAGGGGGCCTTGGAGACCGCTGAGTGCGACCCTGATGATTATGGATCGCAGGAACAGCTAAGGTCCAGGCCTGGAGGCTGCCTTGACCCTCTGACTGGACACTGAATGCCCTGCTGATGCTCAGGGCCACCGTCTCCCTTGCTGCCGACAGAGAGGAAAGTCTTCAGCTGGGACCCGTGCAAGCCCTGGCTGGCCAGCCTTGCCCACTCTTGCCGCCCCAGGAGGTGAGGTGGCACGGAGGATGGGGGTTCCCTGGCAGCCCCTGGGCGTCCAGAGTTCTGCCCCGCCCAGGTTGGGGTGGGGGCCTCCGCACCTGGCATATTTCTGGAAGCCGATCTCCCTGGGGATGGAGAGGGGCAGGATGAAGAGGAAGGCGGTGAGGCTGATGGTAAACTTGCGGTCAGTGTACCAGGGGCTGCCACTGGCCCCCTCGGGCTCCTTGGTCAACACGGCGATGACTGCACGGGGAGGAAGGAGAGGATGTCATGCCAGGCCACTTGCAAGGTGCGGCCCTCCTGCACCTCGGCTGGGCCTCGGGACTTCCATCTGTCTAATGGGCTTAGCGGCCAGGAGGAGGATTCTCAGGGGAAGGCTGAGCCCAGGCGAGGCCTGGGGTGGGTGTTCCATGCCCTTTCCCTCCACCCCTGGGATTCCCGGGGCCGGGGTGGGGGGGGAGGGATGAGGTGGCTCCCGAGGGAACCTCACTCTTGTCCTGCTGGTCCCCGATGATGATGAGGAAGGCGATGCAGGTGCCGAAGGTGTAGATGGCGATGGTCACCTCGCACAGCACGCCCGTCAGCCGGCCGCACACGGCCCACACCACCTCCTGGTAGGTCCGCTCGTTGCTGGCCTGGGAGCAGTAGGCGAGGATGACGAGGCCGCTGATGATGAAGACCAGCATGCCCTGCGGGTGGGGGCAGAGCAGGAGGGTGTGGGAAAGGCCTCGCAGCAAAGGGCAGCCGGGTTTGGCTCGGTATTTACGGGGCTGGTTTGGCATACGGGCCTCATCCCACAGGACAATTTTAATAGATTACTGGAGACGAGATTTTCTTTAGAAACAAAAGCAGCTTTGTGGAAAAATTCACACACACACACACACACAAAAGTAGAAAGAATGGCCAAAACCCGTTTGGCTCAGTGGATAGAGCGTCAGCCTGCGGACTGAAGGGTCCTGGGTTTGATTCCGGCCAAGGGCATGTACCTTGGTTGCGGGCGCATCCCCAGTGGGGGGTGTGCAGGAGGCAGCTGATCAATGTTTCTAACTTTCTATCCCTCTCCCTTCCTCTCTGTAAAAAAAATCAATAAAATATATATTTTAAAAAGTAGAAAGAATGGTATAATGGACCCCCATGTTCTTATCACTCAACTTCAAGAATGATCAATTCATGCCCAATCCTGTTTCATCTATACCTTCTCCCATTCTTGATTATTACTACTTTTTTTAAAATTTTCTTTCTCTTTTTATTTCTTAAAAATATATTTTATTGATTTTTTATAGAGAGGAAGGGAGAGAGATAGAGAGCTAGAAACATCGATGAGAGAGAGTCATCAATCAGCTGCCTCTTGGACACCCCCTACTGGGGATGCGCCCGCAACCAAGGTACATGTCCTTGACCGGAATCGAACCGAACCCGGGACCCTTCAGTCCGCAGGCTGATGCTTTATCCACTGAACCAAACCGGCTAGGCCTCTCTCTTTTTAAAAAATGTGTTTTTATTTATTTTAAAGAGAGAGAAAGGGAGAGGAACAGAGAGATAGAAACATCGCTAAGAAGCCCCCTACTGGGGTCAAGCCTGCCACCTGGTCTCATAACCTGACTGGGAATCAATTCAGCGACCTCTTGGTTCATAGGTCGATGCTCAACCACCGAGCCACACGGGCCGGGCTCTGGATTATTTTGAAGAAATGACAACTTCTCATATCACTTCGTCAGTACTATTTCACGTAGTTCTAAAAGGTCAGGGCCTCTTTTTGAAACAGAATCACAAGATTGAGGTTGGATTTCCCCGATTGCTCGGAAGGCTTTTGAATAAGGTGACCAGACGTCCCGATTTTTAACAATTTGTCCCACGTCCCGTGGCGTTTTAAAAAAAACGCCCGATTTTTCAAAATGCCACCGGACACGGGACAAATGGTTAAAAATCGGGACTGTCCCGCCCAAAGCGGGACTTCTGGTCACCTTACTTCTGAAGCCTCATCTGGGCTCAGAGGAGAGAATGCTGGGAGAGATGCCCTGGGCGAGGGTGGGGACAGTGGTGGCTCTGATCATCCCTCCTCCAGGGCCTCCCCTTGGAGGCAAAGAGACCAGCCCCCCAGCCGGACCGCATTCCTGCCCTCTGGGCCCGCACACTCACCATCTGCAGGCTGATGCCCGCTGCCACGCCCCCGGCGGTGCTGAAGGCTGCCGGGAAGTTGAGCAATCCCGCCCCCAGGCAGGCGTTGACCACGATGAAGATGGCGCCAAACGTGGATGTGGTGCCTCTGCTCAGGCTCTCGGGAGAGGCCTCCCCCTCGCTCTTCGGGTCCGGCTCCACGCAGGGGCTCTGCAGCAGCCGGGCCCGCTCCCCGGCATCCGCGCTGAAGCCCCACTCGCCCAGGTCGCTGTTGATGCTGACCTGGGCCATGGCCCCCGAGAGCCCTCTTCCGGCAGGGTCTGCAGGTTCTGCCTCACCACCGCATGCCCTGTTCGGAGCTGTTCTGTTCTCCCAGGCCCGTGGGCACTGGCTCTTCTCAGCCTAGACAGGGAAGGCAGGTGTTATCCCCAGATGGGCACAGGAAGGTAAAACAACGCCCCCAAGCTCAGACGGCTGGGATTGGAACCCAGGTGCCCCTGTGGGCAGGATACTGCCCTGGGGGCAACCGCGTGGGGTGGCAGAGACAGAAATAGGTCAGAGGCAAATCCTACTTGCTTCCGGATTACAGAACCCTGGGGTATATAAGACAAACATAAGAGAGAGGGGGTAGTGCCCAAACCGGTTTAGCTCAGTGGATAGAGTGTCGTCGGCCTGCGGACTGAAGGGTCCCAGGTTCGATTCCGGTCAAGGGCATGTACGTTGGTTGCAAGCACATCCCCAGTGAGGGGTGTGCAGGAGGCAGCTGATCAATGTTTCTTTCTCATCGATGTTTCTAACTCTCTATCCCTCTCCCTTCCTCTCTGTAAAAAAAAATCAATAAAATATATTTTTAAAAAGAGAGAGAGGGGGGTAGTAATGTGCCAGAATTAGAGAGAGGCCGTGTATGGGCAGGTGTGTCGTGGACATACCTCATTCCATCCTTAAGACAGAGTGGGTCATAAGGTTTGGAGAGATCGAATCAGTGATCCAGGGTCACGTGTCAGCAAGTTGCAGAGTAGGATTTGAATACCGATCTGTCTGCCTTCCCCGCCTGTTTCCACTTTGCAGGATTCCAAGCGCAGCCCCCACTCAGAACCGTGGCTATTTCAACGTGTTACAGAGCCTGGATTCTGAGCCCAGCATCTGGATTCGCCATAGCTTTCCAAGTCCTTCAACATTCAAGCCAACTCTCACTCATCTCTCTCTGACTCACCTAACTACTGCCCGCCATAGGCATCCCCTCGGAGGCCCTCCACATGCCAGGGGTTAGAATGGCAAAGGAGGCCCCCTGGGTAGTCAGGCGCTTCCCATTGCTCCTCCTTTCCCTGGCCCAGCAAAGCCGGGAACGGTACACTCAGGAGAGGGAAAAAGGAGGGTTCTGATGCTCTTAGACATCTGTCACCGCGCATGCAACCAAGACACCAGCTCCCGAGGAAATAGCCCTCTGCTGGCTCCAGCTCCCGAAAGATCAGTCAGGGGACACCCATCCAGCAACTCAGCAAAAAAAAAAAAAAGAAAAAAAAATCAAAGCAGTGAGTAGTAGGAGTCTTGGGTTCCCAGGCTTCTAGCAGGATGCCAGACAGAGCCCCGCAAAGCCAGAGCAGCCTCCCTCTCAGCCCCGCTCACATCTCAGAACTGAGGTGTCCGATCTCTCAGCCGTGCCTCCCCCCAGCCCCTCAGCGCCATCCTCCCCAGCTTACCTATCAGGGCGATGGTGGAGGGGGTGCTGCTCACAGCTCCTGCTCCCCGAAGACCGGGGATCCGATTCTCCTCACTTCTCTCTCTCGGCCCTGATTTCTTCTTCCTCTCAAGGCTTTGCTAGAAGTCCGCCGTCAGCAGAGGGATGAGTCTGGGCTGTTCTGTGCTGGTCAGCAAAGTGAGGGGACTGGACTCTGTAGAAGGGGGCACCAGGTCAGTCCGGTAGGCAGGCGCAGGGAGGGGGGACGCGGGGCTAAGGTCACAGCGGGCAGCCCGCCGGCAGCACCAGAGCCAGGAGCCTGGCGCCCTCGGGGAGCTGGGATCACTGCAGGAGGGCCCTCGGTTCCCAGCCGGAGCGGGGTCCTACTCCAGCCCGGGGGTGGGCCCCCGAAACAGGAGGGGTGGGTTGCACTGGGAGGTGGGCCAGGGCGCACCCCGCGCGGAGGGCATGCCCCCCAGGCATGCAGAGAGGGGAGTGGGCTGCTGTGGGGTAAACTGGGCGGAGGTACCGGGATTTGATCCGGGCCTAGGACCACTGGGTGGAGACGGGGCAGGGACCGGCCAGCCGAGGGCGGCCGTGGGACCAAGGACGCCGGGCTTCGGAGCGCCCTGCGGGGAGTGGGCAGGGCCCTGCTGCGATCGGGGGGTTTGGGTACCCCGGGACCTAAAGCTCACACCCTCCACCTTTCCTACTTTGTGCCACCTACCCACGATACCTCCTGCCCAGCCGGCTGTGGCGACACGTGAACAGAGGTCACGTGATAGCCGGGGCTGTGAGACGCAGGGCACTCTGGGAGTTGTAGTTTCCGCAGGTAATATCCTCGGTATGTACCCTGTTTCCCGGAAAATAAGGCAGTGTCTTATATTAACTTTTTTTCTCCCAAAGTTGCGCTAGGTCTTATTTTCGGGGAAACACGGTATGTACTGTACTGGTTTGCTTAACTGGTCACTTGTTGAATGAAGGATGTCTGAGCTGTTTGCAGGTTTTAAAAGTATAATAGCCCCCTGTCTGGTTTGGCTCAGTGGATAAAGCGCCAGCTTGGGGACTCGAGAGTCCCAGGGAATTCCAGGGAATGTACCTTGGATGTGGGCACATCCCCAGTAGGGGGTGTGCAGGAGGCAGCTGGTCGATGTTTCTTGCTCATGGATGTTTCCAACTTTCTATCCCTCTCCCTTCCTCTCTGTAAAAAAAAAATCAATAAAATATAAAAAAATAATAAAATTAAAAACACTGATTTTAGAGAGGGGGAGAAATACTGACTTGTTCCACTTATTTATATGTTGTTTGATTCTTGTACATATGTGCCCTGACTGGGAATTGAACCCACAATCTTGGCATATCCAGACAACTCTAACTAAATGAGCTACCTGGGCAGGGCTTGTCAGGAATTTTATAAGATTATCATTAAAAAAAGAAAAAGAAAAAGAAAAAAAAATCTATTTATTAGGTACAAACCAATAAATTCTATGAAAAAGAATTCCATAGCCCATAAGAAAAAAGGTAAAAAAATTCTCAAGCTGGTTGAGTGAGCTGGACTTTGATCATGAAGTTGTAAGCCTGAGGCCATTTAGTCCAATAGCACCCAATGGCTGGTCAACGGATCAGGTGTTTCTGAACCTCCAGGAAAATGTTCTCTTTTTTATTTAAAGAAGAAAATGACTCCCAAACCTTATCTCAGACATACTGAGTCAGAATGTCCAGAGATAAGGCTAGGGAACCAATATTTTCTTAAAAAAAAATCCAGATTTGGAAACTATTCTACCTTGAACTATTGTACAATAAACAGAGGCATGCCTGGCCGGTGTGGCTCAGTGGTTGAGCATCAACCTATGAACCAGGAGGTCATGGTTCAATTCCTGGTCAGGGCATATGCCAAGGTTATGGGCTCAATCCCCAGTAGGGGGCATGTGGGAGGCAGCTGATCAATGATTCTCTCATCATTGATGTTTCCATCTCTCCGTCTCTGAAATCAACAAAAATATTTTAAAAAGAAAACAAACAAACAAAAAAACACACAGAGGTTATTCTGAGCAAACTACCCCCTCCATCGAGTGGATAAACATGAACATATTCGACCCAGACTAGAAAACGAGGGTAGGGCTGAAGGCAAACAGTCTGAACTGCTGAGAAAAACACCCCCCACGTGACTGCGTTTGGCGAGGAAAAGGTTTTGGTCCAGGGCGAGCTGGCAGTACGTGTGGTTAAAAATAACGAGGTCAGCAGGGTGGTCAGGTTCCCTTTCCTGCTGTCCTGGTTGCCAACTTTCAACCATGTGGTTCCCTCAGGGAGACTTAAAGCAGCTTCTCCTAATCTGGGGAGTCAGTCCCTGAACGAAGAGTAGCTGAATAACGTTTTCCCTTTTAAGATACTTTCCCAAAGACATCCAGGCCAAGTCCATTCCAGGTAACTCACTCACTTATCCATTTATCACGTTGGTGTATCCGTTCCCAACAGGGACACAGAAGAGCCGGGGTCAGGAGCAAGCCTGCTGTGCACCATGCCCCTCAGGGAGTGAGCAACAAGAGGGAAAGAGCAAGCTGGGCCTGCTGCCCCTCTCCCAGCAGCTACCCGTGCACTGTGGATGTGCTCAGGGCCTGACCTCTGCTCCATTGCCCGCTGTCCCACATTAAATGGCTTCCAGCACTAAGCAGAAGGGGACAGCATAACCTTGATGCCAAGCAGGCGCCATTGCTCCATGTCGGCTGAGAGTAATGACTTGATGGTAGAGGTTGCAAACTGGTGACCTATTGTTTGCATCTTGCTTGTAAATCAATAAGAAAATTGAATCAGGCCAGGCCAGTGTTGCTCAGTGGTTGTCGATCTATGAACTAGGATGCCACGGTTCAATTCCCGGTCAGGTCACATGCCCGGGTTGCAGGATTGATCTCCAGTAAGGGGAAGTGCAGGAGGCAGCCAATCAATGATTCTTTCTCATCACTGATGTTTCTATCTCTCTCTCCCTCTCCTTTCCTCTCTGAAATCATTAAAAAAAATATTTTAAGAAGTTGAATCAGTTGGCAACTTTTAAGCATCAATAGACCTTCCAGAAAAATAGGATTGTGATCCAGTTGGTATGGCTCGACAGTTGTTGACCTATGAACCAGGAGGTCCTACTTCAATTCCTGGTTGGGGTCCATGTTTTGGGTTCAATCCTGTGTACCAAAAGGTCACTGGTTCAGTTCCCAGTCAGGGCACACACCCAAGCTGGGGTTTTGGTCTGCATATGGAAGATAGCTAATTGATGTTTCTCTTTAACATGGATGTTTTCCTCCCTCTCTGAATTCAATAAAAACACACACACACACACACACATACACACACACACACACACACACATATATATATATAAATATAAATAAAAACAGGATTTGTGTTATTTGGAAAATTGAAGACGTGTCATCCTGGCCTTTCATTCTCGCAGCGCCTCTCACTTCCCTATTTCTCATTACTGGAGATGAGGGCTGGTCCCCAATGATCATCTTACATCCGGGTGGCATCCCTCTTTTAACTTCCCCTTCCTTGTTTAGGTTTCCTACCTCACTCCCACAGCCCTCTGAAGCTGCCACCTCCCTCCATCTCCTCTGCTCCCTGCTGACACCCACAGGATCCTCTGAGGTACTCCACCTGTCCCAGAAGGTCCAATGGATCACATCTACGTTTCCAACTTCTTTGGACTAGACAAGCTGAGTGAGATCAAGACAGGGATGTGGCTTTAGTTTACATTCAGATCAGGTCACACACCCATTGGCTCATGGTCAGCTGGACATGACTTCAGAGTGGCAGGATATACAGCCACTCCTGCCCTTCCCTCCCATGAAAGAGAAAATACAACATAGTTGCCAGTGGTGGGGTCGCAGTAACTTTATTGTAACAGAGAAACCAGGCTGCAGTAGGTCTACATGATTAGATGGCGGTCATCGTTCTAAAGGGTGAATGAAGCCCGAGCCACGCTGGAAGCGCAAGAAGGTTAAAACCGAAACCTGAACATCCTCCTGCCTGGCTCAGCCCGGCATCACCCGACTTGGGACAGCACAACACTGCACCAAGGGGCGAGGTCCAACTGGGCAGAGGCGACATCCCGGTGGGAGACGAGCAATCGCTGAAGAGGACGCTGCAACAATCCGTTAACCCTTCTCAGCGTTCTTTGCTGAGAGAGGCGAGGGTGTGGGGTGAGCAGTAAATCATGTTCTTCATTCTTCAAATGAGGAAATGCTACAGGGTAGGGTCGATGGTCAACCAAGCAGAAGAGGGTGAAAATCTAGGCTGGTTATAGATCTTTGTGCCTACGGGAAAGGACAGCGCTGACAGAGAGAAGGAACATTGAAATGCCCACAAGTAAGTACAAGAAGAGCCTTCTTTTTTTCTTAAGTAAGACCGGAAACAGCATCTTCTCATGTTCCTTTTGCAGGGGCAGCCCACGCGCTGGCGTTCATGATTTCTGTAATGTGGTCTGTTGGTTACGCTGCTCGATCCGGGAGCACAAACGTGAGGCTGACCATTATTGCTGGAACCAGGTCTTCTCACAGAGGCTCCGATACATGGCGTCGACACCATCAGTTAAAGCTTCCGGAATATTGCAATGGTGTGATGGACAGGTTTTTGGCTATGACGTTCTTGTACGTGTAAACTCTTTCAGAAAAGCTGGATACACACAGAGGAGGGAGGTTTTGGTTGGGAGCCACAAAGTTCTACGCACCAGCCACGGATGCCTCTGCCTAGTTCCCTACACACCCTTTGCCGAGAGAGACCGTTCCAGCGCTGAGGTTTGAGTACCGTGGTTGAAAGGAAGGATCTGCCCACCACCGTCCACCCTCCCCCTTCCTCCGTGTGCGTCTCAGGGCAGCAGAGGTGGGCAGAGGTGGTCTCTGTTTCCTCTCAGCAGGGGAATTACTTGGTGACCTGGTGGATGGCGTGGGCGAGGTAGCCCACGTTGCCGGAGGTGACCCCTGCGACGGAGATGCGCCCGTCCTTTGTCATGTAGACCGAGAACTCCTTGGTCAGCCGCTCCACCTGCAGAGAGAAGGACGCTTGGGCATGTCCAGCTCACGCGAGGTATATGTGTGTGTATGTGTGTGTGTGTGTGTGTCCAGCCCTGGCACAACAGCCACATGTTAAGACAGGAAAAATAACAGAGGCTCTGTTTTTTTTTTTGGTTTTTTTTTCCAATTAAACCCTACTCCCAGAATTTGGTGTGTTAGCTTAAGAGTGTAAGAAGAAGGAAAGCTACTTGAAAGTAGGGTGATGAATTCTGAGGAGGAACGGTGAAAAAAAATGTTAGAGCCAGCATCTGCAGGAAAAACAGATCCAGGATCCAGCAGTGGATCGGCTGCTTTCCTTTCTAATTTGCAGGTTCCTGCTTGTTCTGGTATCTCTGCAGAGAAGCAGTGGCATTCACTAAAAATGATGAAGACAAGTCCTGCTCTGTGGAAGTCTGCACCTCACGGAGGATGCGGATAGGTAAATGACTAATAAAAAACAAAGCAGAATGAACGCTACAGATGTACATACTTCATTTACCCAAAAGCCTCCAAAATGACTTGTTTTCCTGAACAGGTAGGTGCCCCAGGACTGGGTAACTGGTCTGCTACAGGGAGTCCACTCACCTGCTCGGGCTTCAGTCCTGTGAAACAGAACATGCCAATCTGGTCAGTGATGTGCTGCCAGTTGCGGGAGGAGCCCTCCTTCTTGAGGTTGGAGA